AAGTAAGAAATTCTTTACCCATTCAGAGATAATCAAGGTCAAAAAATTTCATATTGATTGTGATCACCAGAAAAAGTTTTACTCTTAGCAAATGAGGTTAAAGTTTATTTCCCCACCAACAATGATAAAGCCACTAAGTTCTACAACTAATGAAATCATTGAAACTCTACCTAAGTCTTTTATCAAAGAACTCCAGAACCGGATTCCATGTAAACCCATCAGAAGCTCTTAGAGTCATATAACATAGCGGTATGTGACATAGCGACCGGATGTTTCACTCGAGCGGATGATCTTCACGACTTGTCCATGTTTTAGCCCAAAGTATCTCGCGATCGGGTCAGTAAACTGAATACGTGGAAGCTATTACCAATCCACCACAAGTAAATAAAAAACACGTTAACAAGGAATCAAACAACCAAGCAAATATCTAACATCAAAGATTTTGGTATCGACAATAAACTTGTTTCGTTGCTTAAGCTTGCCAAGATACTAACCTGGTTCTCTTTCACAGTGTATCTCTCCAACAAAGTTTTCGTCTCCTCAGTTGTTAGAGCTATATGCTCAGGAACAAAAACGTGGTCTCTTACATTCAGTAGAAGCTCTGTCTCCTGCACAAGCGCTTGAGTTTTTAGTGTATGTTTTGGGAGACATTCAAGCCAAATACAAGAAACAGGAAACGAAAATAACTCAAAATAGTCAGATTTTCAAGATAGATATAAGAGGAGATTGCAAGTTCTAAAATGACAATAGAACTGAATTACTTTCAGCTTTTTTGAGAAAATGTAACTTAATTACCTGAAAAACTTCAATGTGAAATTTTGAAGCTGCGACTTTTATGGAACTTAGAGCGAAGCGTGTCAAGTTCTCTTGTATAACCACAATTGCTCTGAAGACATTCGCGGATTCCATGCGTTTTAGGTAACGCTTAATATCCTCGGTTCCAACCTTTTTTTCTTTGGGGAAAAAGACAAAAATCTACCACGAGGAAGAGCAAGAGCATAAAAAGAATGAAAAAGACACAAAAAAACACATATCCTTGTACACTTTCAATGTACAATGTTGTACCATTAGAACATGAGTAGTAAAAAAAATGGCTCAAGAGTCATCAAGAACACTTGTGCAAACGTTTTCAATAAAATCAGAAAATAAACATATGAACAAACCTTATCAGATTCATCGTTCCTCTTAACCTTGAGAGTACTAAGATCCTTTCTTATCATATTCTCGCCATATTTGTCAACAAACTGTTCTTTGGTCATCTCAATATCAGAATCCGCGACATCGTATCCACGGTCTTTCAGCATCTGATTCAGTGTCTTACACACTCTGAAAAGTTTACTGATTTCTTCTTCGGATAAAGTCATCTTTTTCACTGATCAAATCTGCAAAAATACACATACATACCAGTCATCAAAAAACCAAAGATATTCCCAAAAGAAGTGGTACCAGCGAAACAAAACCATGTGTTATGATGGGTCTTGAAAGTTTTGGACAGAATCATACACAGATTCCACGAGGTGATTTTTTTAGAAATAAAAACAGTTCCTTATGAAATAAACATCAAAAGTGAAACTGAAACCTAAAGCCTAAGAGATCAACGACTAATCCGTTGAGAGAAACAATGTGGGTTTTAAACAAATTACTTGAGACGATGAAACTTATTAGAGAGCTAGGGTTTATGGAAGCAGAGGTTTTTTTCGACTTTAGAAAGGTTGCTGGTGATCCGCGTGAGGCTCGATAGGGACACTTGGCAGAGGGATGAGCAAATAAATAGAGAGAAACTTTAGCGGCAAGTTTAGCCAATTTACTTGTAATTTATTCGGGACAAAGAGCTTAAGCTCATTTATTAACTCTTTTAAGGAAAATTTCTATTAAAGTTTTAAGAAGACAAAAAAGAAAAATTTCCATTAAAAAATCATCAATTATTCAGTTACTAAGGACAGGG